AATGGAACTATGAACATCTACTAGAGAGATAGCGGGTTCTGCTACATGTGATGTGACTAGGTGAGTCAAATGCCTAAGCATATAGGCTTCACCTTCACCATCTTATGGCGCAAAAATTTCCTTAAGAAGTATACATATCAGGGCAAATGACACAGTTGTCTGAGACTAGTCATAATTCTTGAACCCAAGTTTCACTTGGGGTGTTCTTGACTAGAAAAGGCAGGTCTGGTGTTAATGCTTTTAATTTGAATCCTAGATCGAGAAGCGGCTGCAGGATTCTGTATCCACTTCCTGAATCCATGCTTTTTGATAGGATCATCAAGTACCCTTTAGGATTGAATTTAAAGAGACTGTCCATGGCCATGAATTCTCTTTTGCCAAACTTGGTTGCTGGTGAAAACCATATATATCATGTAGAACTGAGCACTGCATCCATGGTTGAGGAACTCAAGTACTCGACCATGAAACTGCTCTGTTAAATTGTTTGAGTTGAGTATCTGCAGTTCCGGGAGCTTCCCCTTTTGTGACATTTTCTGGAGGAACTAGAGGATCTGGAACTTCCTCTGCAACTTCATCTATCATTTCCTGCATGGAAAGCTGTGGCATGCTCTCAACAGTCAAGGTTAATTCAGTTTTCTGTCGAGGTAATCGAGAGTTGTGATCTTGAAAAAGTTCATGGATTCTTAGGGCAACAGGATGCATGGGAAGGTTAAAGACAATGTAGTCTGCATAGACGATGAAGAATATGATAGCAAATGGGATGGTGGAGAAGATAGGATATTTTGGGGTGCGCCTAAAAGTAGCCTGTAATCAAACACTTTCTGAGACATTCTTTTCACCTTCAAAAGAGTAGGATAGGGTGTTTATTTTTTTTGGAGAAAGCATTGTTCTTGATGAGGCACGTTGTACAGTCTGGCCAAGTGCGGCCTTACATATATATAGTAGCTGAAAATTGAAATAGGAGAGTTTTCTGATGGCAAATTTTGTGGTCTACATGTCGTGCAGTGCTGGTCCTTAATTTGGCAAATTTTTTGGCATCTAGTGTATTTTAAATTTGGTATACAAATGTTTGTTTCAATGATGAATCAATCTTTAAATATCTGGACATAAATACCAATTACATCCTTGTATCAATTTAGAGGTTAATATAAGAATAGGTCACATTTCTAGCTACTTATTTCAACTTGTTTATATCCAACAATTATATTAAAGAGGGGCATTCTCATCATCTTAGGAAATGAACTCCTATACTAATATTTGTGAGTGAGAAATTCCATCGTTTCTCTCACCAATCCAATAGTTTTGTTTTTTGTTTTACTGACGAGAAATGAGGCATTCGAACTTAAAACATCTTTCAACATTGGTTTAACATTGTAAGTTCATCATGTAGAAGAGAATCACTTACACATATACGTATGAGTTAAGGATTTGTAAATGCACCTAAGGTTTTGATTAGCACACCCACCACATTTTGAAAACAATCCCAAAATTTCTCATTGATCCAATAGTTTTGTTTTTTGTTTTACTGACGAGAAATGAGGCATTCGAACTTAAAACATCTTTCAACATTGGTTTAACATTGTAAGTTCATCATGTAGAAGAGAATCACTTACACATATACGTATGAGTTAAGGATTTGTAAATGCACCTAAGGTTTTGATTAGCACACCCACCACATTTTGAAAACAATCCAAAAATTTCTCATTATACCTATAAAATCTCTGGATACATATTATTCTAATTTATTGGTTGGAACTTGGAAGGCGAAACAAATTTTCTTTCTGTTAATTGAAGACCCGACCTAATGTGAGCTTGGGCCTTCTGAATGAGCCCCAATTTGGGCCTTTTGAAATGCCAGCCCAAGACTATTACAAGCGAGAGCCAACCCAACGGTCTCTAAAACAGGAGCCATCTCCTAAAACACAACACTTTCCCTCGAAAACCTTATCCGCTTCTCTCAAGCTTCAAGCTTCAACCATGGCGTCACTGATACTCGGAGCTCTTCCAATCCCCACTCAAACGCTCGCTTTCAGCTCTCGCATTTCTCATTTCATTTACTCGGAGCTCTTCCAATCCTCCACAGCTTCCCTTTCAGTCTCCACAGCTACCAGTCCATCAGTCCCTTTAGGTACACCTTATTCCCAAACCCCCCCCTCTCTCTCTCTCTCTCTCTCTCTCTCTCTTAATTTTTTTTAGAAAGTCTTCTTGTTTTGACACGTGGCGCCTAATTGCTGGGAGTCCTTTTTTTATATTTAAAAAATCGTATGGCCGCCCGGCTATACTCTGTTTTTTTAATTTGTTTTAAAACAGTATAGCCGAACGGCTATACTATTTTACGTGGACGCCTAGGTTCTGTGTGTCTGCCTTTTTTTTTTTTAGTAAATAGTATCGCCGTCCGGCTATAACTATTTTTTATTTTTTTATAAATAGTATAGCCGCTCGGCTATACCATCTAAAATATATAAGTGTATAGCCGCTCGGCTTTACGAGGCTCTCTATTTTTCAATTTTTTTTAAAAAATAGTATAGCCGTGCGGCTATACTGTTTGACACGAGGGTGCTTAAGCGCTATACTGGTCCTCTGTTTTTTTTTAAATTTTTATAAATAGTATTGCCGATCGGCTATACTCGGTTTTTTATTATTATTTTTAAAATAGTGTAGCCGCACGGCTATACGTTACATCCTCGCAGCAACTTCCTGTGTCAATAGGTTTAGATTTAGCATACATCCACCTTTACACACTACCATTGTAGGTCATCATAATGGTAGATGGGAAGCAAGAATAGGAAGAGTTTTTGGAAACAAGTACCTCTACCTAGGCACTTACGGTAAGTTATCTCTGATCTCCTATCTCCATAACTGATTATAACATTATCCAAAAACTAGCTGCAATATAAACTGTCATAAAAGAGAAAGTTGAAAACTATAATGAAGAGAATTTGCACTTACTGAGCAATGTGTCTTTTTAATCTCATTTCAGGCAGGCACCCAAGAGGAAGCAGCTCGTGCCTATGACATTGCAGCAATTGAGTACAGAGGGATCAATGCTGTGACTAACTTTGACTTGAGTTCTTACATAAGATGGCTAAAGCCAAGAGCAGACGATCCAATAGCCACTCAAGAACCAGAGACAGCCTCAGAATATGCCATTCATGGCCAACAGCTACATCCCAACAGAGGAGTCTTTCTCACACACAAATCCTTTTGCCTCTGATACTCCCCCCCGAAAACAAGAAGTCATCGGTAGCAGCATCCCTCTTAACACCGGTAGCAAGTCATCGTCTCCCACCGCACTTGGCCTCCTCCTTCAATCATCAATATTCAGAGAGTTGGTTCATAAGAACTCAAACTTCTAGGAGGATGAGAGTACCGACGGAGAAGAAACAAAGGACCAGCCACAGGTTGGTAGTGATGATGAGTTCGGTGGAATTTTCTATGATGGAATCGGCAACAACCCGTTTGCTTGCTCTTCCAATTCTGATGGAGATAACAACCCATGGAGCAGCATTACAAGCACCATTTTACTCAATCAACCAACAAAAGCAAATGCCTCAGACTCTCTATTTTTCTTTTCTTAGATGCATCATGGGAAACAGAACTTAGTCATATGGAAGAAATTTTGTTTCACTTTGTAAATAACAGAATTGGCGCAAAAAAAAACAGAGCATGGCGTGATAAGATTGATGCTAATTAAATTATGTCCAGCATTGCTTGCAAGTTGCATGTAAACAACTTAATAACATCAAGTTTATGGTTTCGGTAATGTGATGTTTACCAACTTTTTCGATTTTTCATAGTTTCATCTCACCTTAATATAGGCTGAGAGATTATTAACAAGAAAAAGAAAAAGTGTGAACGTGTCCAAAGTTGCATATGAATGATTTCTGAATACATTATCATGCACTTTCGGTTCAGGTTTATCGTACCAGATTCATTCAACTTAAATGCTGCAGTTTGCCTCCTTTACAGAGATGTACAATTGACAAGTAATACAGTGGTTCGTTCCCAATACGTAGCACAATTGTATTTTAGCCATTTGAACTCTGTTTTCTAGTTCATTTCCATTCCTTTCATTTCATGTGGTCGGATTCTACATCAAACACTCACATTCAATTTTTTTAACCCCTGTGATATACTGTTGCCTAAGCTGAAAACCACAAACCAGCAGATCCCATCATGGTTGAGAGCATCACGAGGGACTTCCATATACACTCCGATACAGGTAAGTATTTCTCGAGACATGTCATTTGAGGGTATCAATAAATTAAAAGGGAAGTTCACTGAAAAAAATAGATAAATGAAAAAGAAAGCAAAACACGACTTCCACAAGACACTATCCTCAGTTGGATAGAAATCCACATATTATTTATTCTCTTTGATCCGGGAACCCAGTGTTCATACTAGTTTGTAAGACAATTGCAGCTGCAAGTTAAACCTTGAAAGAAAACAATGTTCAGTTGGAACTTAGATAGTTCCCATGGAAGTCAGCCTAAAAGAACAATTACGAAATAACAACCTCATAAAAGTAGCACAACCTAGAAGTTCTAGGAACATCATACAATTAGTGACAATTCTGTGAGTGATGAAATTACAGGTTGCAATTGGCAAATATTTTGAACTTGATAAATAAATGGGCAAAGTACAAACTTAAAATGCAGTAAAGTTATGAGTAAACTGAATACTAGTTCCTGACCTCTGAATCATGTCCCTTACTGAAATACATGTATTGCATTCAAAAGATACAAACTTCATTTCCTCTCAAGAACTTCAAAATTGCTTACTTTTATTTCTGAAGAGTTTTTGTTGTTTAGAAAGATAAAAGACAAAAAGGAAAGCCAATGCAATCAACCAGATCCCAGTCCACGGAACCGGTGGATCCTTGAAACATACAAGGGACGCCTCCACTTCTTGGGAGGCATGATAGACAAGAGAGTGGATGGCATATAGGTCATGATCTGAGGACCTCAAGTAATACAAAGCCATCTCAAAATCTAAATGCGACAATGCAGAGACTGCTTTCTCCAGCTTGTACTTGAACAAGTTCCACCTTTGTATGAACTCAACATGTCGACTACTTTTAAGGAGCTTTCTTTCCCCACCATGTGCAGCTATGGATTCAAGAACATCCACAGCACTTGTTATGCTGTAATTGAGTGATGTCAAAAGAACATTTCTACGAGCAGCATCCTTCTGCACAAATGACAGTGATGAAACTTCAGAGAACGGTCCAAACGGAGTCTGCCCAACACTCCATGTGTAATCCACTAATGTAGTATTGTGCCTAGGGCTCCACAGCATATGGGTTGGTGACACTCCCCACATGCTCTGTAAAATCGAACCAACAAGCGGTCGCTCAAGCTCCCTTGTCTGTGTAAACACATGACGCCCGTTACAGCTATAATCACTCACAGTCTGTGTGTTCTTCGTCCTGACTGCAATGACCATGTCTTTAAAAGCAACAGATTGGTGATACCTATCGAGCAACAACAGCATGCTGTAGTCCAAATCAAACACATAAACGGGAAGAACCCTACCGAATTCCTCCTCAGGAAACCCTGCCACCCTCCTAAACTCCTCAGCTGAATCAGACAGTATCTGATGCAATCGCTTCGAGTCCAAATACTCACTTGCAATCAAAGTATAGTTATCAAACAAGAATCTTGACGTATACGAATTGATAGACCGAGAAATTGCAAATGAACAAATGGGACACTCCGAGTAACTCACTCTATAAGTCTTGAACCTCAAAGACTGATCCCCCAACAACAACCCATTATCATTGGCCTCATCCATAAACGTTCTCTCAATCGATTTCCAATCCAAACCACTAGAATCCTTACTGCCCTCAGACCCATAAACATGAATAAACTGAACAATCAATGAATTCTCAAACTGAACAGGAATTCTCAAAGAGGGCACAAGAAGAACCTGGTAAGCACTCCAAACCAAGGAAGCCAAGTCAGCAAGCAACGCCTTTTGAGCCTTGGGACGACCGTGCAACGCCGCGAGAGGATGAAACTCGCCTCTGGGTAAAACCCCATCACCGGAAAGAGCCGGGCCATAATCGACCGGGCCAGCACCCAAGTCAATCCAGATATACCTGTCCTTGCCAGTCCAGATGCTCCCCAAACACTTGGTGAAAGCAGCGGAAGAGTCCCCAGATCCATAGTTATAAGCATAAGGTTTGGACTGGGGACCCAAATTCAGAAAATACAAGTAAACCCCATGAACGGGCTTCTCTTTCTCGAAGTCCTTCTTGATGATCTGGTCAATCGGGTCGTAGGGGATGGAGAGAAGCGGGGATCGGAGGCTGGAAGGGGTTTTCTCGAGCTCAGAGTTTAGGGTTTTGGAGAGTTGGGAAGCTAAAGAGGGAGAGTGAGAGACGTCGAGGTGGAGAGAGTGCTGGACGGCGAGGCGGTGAGAGTGGGTTTCGAAGGGGGCGATAACGTGGAAGTGGTTGGAGGATTGGGAGGCGGAGAGGAAGGAGTAGAGGAGGGAGATGGAGGAGGAGGGGAAGGAGGAGCCGACGAGGCGGACGTGTGGAGAGAGAGGGAGGGAGAGAGAGAGGAGAGATGAGATGAGGGAGTGAGGGGTGTGGGAGAGAGGGGTAGAATGGGAAAGGGAGTTTCTGAGGGTGGAGGAGAGAGAGAGGAAGGAGTCGTTGGTGGCTTGACGGTCAAGGCGGGACTGGTGGGTCAGGAAGGTGTCGAGGCCAAGGATTGGGGCGGAGCTGGTGGTGGCTATGGCGGCAGTTAGGATCAGAAGAAGGAAGAAGGCGGTGGTAGTGACCGCCATGGTGGTCGTCGAGGTCTCTGTGACTTGGGACTGAAATGAGACTCTGCGGTTTGGTGGTCTGAAGAAGCCAATTTTTTTCCCTTTTTCTTTTTCTCTTTTTTTTGGAAATGAAAAAATGAGACACTGTTTGATGCCCGTCTAATTTTACAGCTCACAAACACAACTTACACTGGAAATTTTGCTTTTGCACTTCTGTTCATAAATATTTTTTTAGAAGTGATTTTATTAGAATAATGTTGAAAAGTCAATTACCGTTTGGGACTGCTTCTTTAGAAAGTACTTCTACTTGTAAGCATTTCTAACAAAAACACTTTTATTATAAAAATATTGAATTTCCATTATAAAAAAATTCAAGTGCTTCATGAAGAAGTACATAGTAGGTGTTTCTTCATAAAGCGCTTCTAAACTTTTTTGTCAAATACTATCAAAAACGTTTTTAGTTGTCAGAAAGCGCTTTTTGCCTTTCTAGAAGCACTCCCAAATAGCTTGGAAAGTGATTTTTGAAGAAGCACATGCTATGTTAGTCAAGTACTTCTGCATAAATTAGATTAATTTAGAGTATCGCTTGTTTTTGGGAAAAAAAAAATTGGAACCAAACTTGAACTATCAAAAATGCCCTTGTCATTTAGTGGGGTATAATCGTCATTTCAGGGTTGTTTATGAGCTTCCTGTGATATGAAGCAAAACTTTGAGTGGACTGCTTGGGGGCTGAAATGGGGTAAGCATTGGCATTTCATTATGAACAAATAAGCATTGGAATTTCAATATGAACAGATACGCATTGGCATATCCGTAGGTATATTTAAATCTATAGGATTTGCTTTTGGTGTTTGTGAATTATTGAAATCTACTCATTGAATTGACTAGGAAAACCCTTCAAGAACTGTAACTGGCACTAAAATTTGAGGCCTCACCTCACATATGAGCAAATCCAAAACCACAATGACTTTTGGATCTTTGGGACTACCAAACAGAGTACGGACTTTGAAATTTGGCTCAGATGCTCCGAAATCATCGTCTCCTTTGTTTTCTGATATAATATTGTTGTGGCAACACAAAACAAAACAGCTTAAGGCCAAAACAAGCACACATGTTATATAATACGGTTAAGCATCCTTCCAGCTCAAGCAACCATAGGAACAAACAACAACAGAATCGTAGAAAGCAGAGGAAAGTAAGAATCCTGAGTGCTTAGTTATTATAGGAAATGGAGTTGATGATGGTGAAGAATGAAGAGAACACTAGGAGGCGCCGCTTGAGCACAGTGGATCGTGAGGCTCAGGAATCACGGTGTGTCAAGAGAAGGAGAAGAGACCCGGCTGCAGTTGCGGTTAGTTGTGACAACAGCCAGAGTGAGCAGCATTTGCCACAAAAACCAGCTGATCAAACTTCTGCTACCACAACGAAGAGAAGTTCAAGATTTCGTGGTGTCAGCAGGTTTGAATCGGAAACAAATTTCAGTGGTGTTATGTTGTAGGCAGAAGTTTCTTCTTGTTTCATGTGTAGAAATATTAAGGTAAAGTGTTTGTCAACAGGCATCGATGGACTGGTCGATTTGAAGCCCACTTGTGGGATAAGCTCTCTTGGAATGCAACGCAGAAGAAGAAAGGGAAACAAGGTAAATATCATTGTTGCATTTCTTTCACTCTGTTTAATTATCTATTGCTTTTCCCCCTGGATGCTGATATCTGGTTCCTTGTGTTGTGTTCTATTGTATTGTGATTCGGAATGGATTCTTGGGACTGAGCAGTTTATCTTGGTGAGTATATTTTGCTACATGGTTGAGTTTGTTCAGTTTGAGTCTTAAAACTTACTGCTAATTCTGTAAGTAAAACATATTAATCTTTTATTAATCATTGTGTTCCCAGGAGCTTATGATGAAGAAGAATCTGCTGCAAGGGCATATGATTTAGCTGCACTTAAGTATTGGGGAACATCAACTTTCACAAACTTCGCGGTATGAACCTGATCATTGATCAGACACACAATATGTAGCTTAGTAGTAAAAGGGGCACAAATTCATGATCTCACACCTTGATGCTGTTTACAGATATCCGACTATGAGGAAGAAATTGATATAATGCAGACTGTAACAAAAGAAGAGTATTTGGCCTCGTTACGAAGGTAGGACTTCAAACATTTTTTGTTTTGTGAGATTTCTGAACTGAGGAATTTCCTTGGCCGGTTTCCTGAAATGATTTGTATGTTTGTTTCAGAAAGAGCAGTGGCTTTTCAAGAGGTGTATCTAAGTACAGAGGAGTAGCAAGGTAATATTCTTATTAATATTGTGGTAATCAAATCAAATCAACTTATTTAAAAAAACCTACAGACGAAAAACAGTTTCTAAAGACTATTTGGTTCATATATTGCAGGCACCATCATAATGGTAGATGGGAAGCAAGAATAGGAAGAGTTTTTGGAAACAAGTACCTCTACCTTGGCACTTACAGTAAGTTATCCCCACATCTGATTATAACATTATGTAACATCCAAAAACTAGTTTGAATATTTGTGAAGTAAACTTTGTAATTGAAAATCATAAAACAATCAATGTATCATTGTAGGCACCCAAGAGGAAGCTGCTCGTGCCTATGACATTGCAGCAATTGAGTACAGAGGGATCAATGCTGTGACAAACTTCGACTTGAGTTCTTACATAAGATGGTTAAAGCCAAGAGCTGACGATCCGATAGCCACTCAAGGACCAGAGACAGTTGCAAAGCCACAGTATATACTACCATTCATGGCCAACAGCAACATCCCAACAGAGGAGCCCTCATTCTCACACACAAACCCTTTTGCCTCTGGTTACTTGAGCTCTCCTCAAAAGCAAAAAGTCACCAGAAGTAGCGTCCCACTTAACACCGGTAGCAAGTCATCTTCTCCCACCGCACTTGGCCTCCTCCTTCAGTCTTCAATCTTCAGAGAACTGGTTCAGAAGAATGCAAACTTCTCGGAGGATGAAAGTACTGACGGCGAAGAAACGAAGAACCAGACACAGGTTGGTAGTGGCGATGAGTTCAGTGGAATTTTCTATGATGGAATCCGCAACAACCCTTTTGTTTGCTCGTCCAACTCTGATGGAGACAACTTATGGAGCAGCATTGCAAGCACCATTTTGCTCAATCAGCCATCAAAAGCAAATGCCTCCTTGGACTCTCTATTTTTCTTTTCTTAGATGCAACATGGGAAACAGAACTTGTTCATATGGAAGAAATTTTGTGTCACTTGTAAATAGCAGAACTGGCACATCAGAAGTACATAGCATGAAACTGCATATCCATGTAAATTAAATCACGTCGAGTATTAGCTTGGCTGCATGTAAATTTCTTAAAAAAATCGAGTATATGATTTTGGGTTTGTAAGGTTTACCAACTCTTTTGGATTTTGCATCTCACCTCGTTTTAATCTATATTCCTATTGGACTGAGTTTGATAACAAGAGAAAAAAATATATATTAAAACTTTGAGACTTCCAAAATGACATAGATAAATATGAACGATCTCTGAATTGCTTGTCCGTACATTCTCATGCACTTTTGATTGAGGTTCAATTGTCCCTCCACCGATATGTAAAATTGACAAGTAAAATAATGGTTCTTACCTAACAGAGTACAATTGTTTGTTTTTGGCCATTTTAGCTTTATTTAGGAGCATTACTCTATGAGCATTGATTGGTGTGATGGGGAAAATCGAACTTTTTGTCCCAACTGATTTCCACTGCCATATTGATATTGTCTTCTCTGTTGAGAATAAATAGAAATGCACAGATCATTTGTCCGTGAAACCCAAGATCCATACTTCGTTTGCAGGACAATAACAGCTGCAAGTTCAACGTTTTCCGGTTAGTTATGAAAGGACAACATTTTTATTGACCATGGAAGTCAGTCTAAAACAACATTTTTAACGACGATGGATTGGTGGGTCAGGAAGGCGTCAAGGTCAAGGATTGGCGCTGAGTTGGTGGTGGTTATGGCAGTAATTAGGATCAGGAGAAGGATAACGGCAATGGTGGTGGAAGAGATTCTCTCAAATAATAATAGCTAGAAACCACCTCCAAACTTGTAATATGATCAATAGTTGTATACAACAACATATATATATAGCAAAATTTATTCAGTCATATGAACTATCGGAATCACTGTAAGATTGTGGGTTCCAAAACTTTGCAACATGATCATCTTCACGATTAAAGACAGGACAAGAAGCATTTGTGAAGTCCCTGAAGCGTAAGCATCCCACATCTTCATCATAGTTGGCAATGCCAGTAACAATTCGACACCCATTTACAGCCAGAGCACGACACCCAAAACTGGTAGATGTTTCATCTGGAAGAGAACAATCCAAGGAATTAGTTTTTGCACCAGTGTTGGCCTCCCAAACATTAACATAAAAATCCTCCGGGCTTCCTGTAACTATTTTGTATGGATCCATGTGCAAGTATGTCAACGGCACTGTGTGTCCGCCATCTAACTCCACTATTGGTTCTGATTTCAGGGTGCCCTGGTTCTTCCTTATATCGTAAAGCATTGCCCTGCACCATTCAGGCATATCTTTTTCTCAATAAACTGAGTTCTACAACTTGGATAAAAACAAGTGAAACCAGGGAATTTTACTCGCCGTACCTGCCATTGCTGCCTACGCAGAATAAAGATTTTGAAGGAGTTGCCTGAAAAGAGTACAGCTTTGCATCTACTGTAGCAATGACAACTTTTTGCATTGTCCTCAAATCAATTGCCATAACAGAGGAACCAGCAGCAACATAGACCAATTGTTCATGACACTTAATGTCTATAGGGGCACCAAGAACAGAAGTCATCCCCACACAGCATGAAGAACGAACAGAGGATGATGTATTTGTATCCCACACCCTCACCTGTTAGAAACTGCAATCATCAGACAATGACAAATAACAAAAATTCACGAGGATGACCAGATCTGATAAGAACAGCATTGAATGGATAATTGAGGATACCTTAGAATCTCTTGAAACAGATACCAAGAGAGAGGTGTTGTGCCTATCAATAAGACCAAAATACATAGATCAATATAATGGGAGAAGTGTCACCCAAAGCACAGAAACGTTTGTAAATGATTACATATGAGATGCAGTACATAT